TAATATTTAGCAAGGATAAGTAAGAAAGTGCTTGATTAATACATGCAAACAAAAATGTATTCTGGCAATTCTTAAGACATTTCTAAAGTCTTAACTACTTTACCAAAAATTTTAAAGCTAGCTTATTTATTAAAGATTTTACTTGTTATGTAAACTTGAAAAAGCATTTGACTAGTATTTTATTCCTGATAAAGTATTTGATTCAAGTGCTTTTATTTTCTTAAACCAATTAATTAGAGCTCTTGTATATATTTTTTAGTAGTGAAACATTGTGTATATGCACATAAATACATAAACATATTACGCCTGCTGAGAGAAATACATCTTATAGATTCATAAAGACCTTTTTTTTTTTTTCCTGTCTTGGACTTTTAGATTTCTGATAACTTGTTTCACAACCCTAGGCAGTTGTCAGCTAAATAGCCTTAATTTTTCATATTAAAGGAAACAACTAAGGTGAAAATGAAATAGCAAAATTTACATCATAAGGTATAGAGAGAAAAAGTCTGGTGGTGCTAGAGGGAGACTAAAGATGGATACCAAATCAAACATAAAGTTAAGGAAATCTATCATAGGATTGTATAAGGAGACCAATTTTATTTAGATAGAGACTGTGTATCTTTAACTGGATCTCTGAGCTCTGGGTAGAGCCCACACTGAATCCTGGGCCTCCAAAAAGAAAATTATTAAGAGGTTAAACCATGTAATGCACTTATAGTTCATTAATAAATAAATAAATAAATGACATTTCTAAGTGTCTAAACGATACTATTCCTTACAAAACCAAGAGTAGCCTCTGTTGCAATAGCTACTTTAGTAAAAAAAAAAAAAAAAGAAAAAAGAAAAAAATCAGATGACACAATACAAAAGGAAGCAGCTTAAGAGCTGAGATGAACTTGTCTGTTCATACTCTTGAGATTCATTAAGGAAAAACAGAGAGTTTTCCCCAAAAGGAAGCCTGGTGCCTTCTCTGTTTTCTTTAAGGAACCCCAGGCTATTATGAACTATTTTAGGTCCCTCATGCAGCAGAGGGTGAAAGAGAAGGGAAAGACAGCAGGAGTAAATAAAGAAAATAGAATTCAGTCAACTGAGAAGAAAAAAACTTTTGCTCAAAAAAAAAAAAAAAAGACAAGGTCCTAAGAGAGAAAAAAACAAAAACATGAAGGACTTTTAAATACGAACACACACGTACACGTACAAACACACACACATCTTGGATGTTAGCTTTTAATTAAGCTGACTTCTAACCATTGACCTCCTTAAAAAAAATATCTTAAAATGTCATTACCATATTTCAGCTAGGATAAATTGCTACTATTTCAGAATTACCAAGTATCAAATAAGAAAAGGCTTTATATAGATGTTACCATTTCAGAATTACCAAGTATCAAACAAGAAAAGACGATACAAATAAGAAAAGGCTTTATATAGGAACCAAACCCAGGCTATAAGGGGGGGGAAAAAAAAAAAAAAAAAAAAAAAAAAGAAGGCAGAACCTTAGCTATCAAACTGCAGCATGGGGTAACAGCCATTGCTCCTTCAGTTTGGCCTGGCTAGCAAAATGTTGACCTTGTTATGTAAATAAAGCCCTTATAGTAGTCAAAATGAAAAACCTCCAAAATTTATTTTCCTTTCACATCTCCATGAAACTAAAATTCTTTTAAAAGCAACTAATAGAAACCCATTGTTTGAAATAAATTCTATGAGAGGAATCAAATCCTATGATCTCTTGCCCTGAATCATATTCTCATGACTTTGATTCACGTTTGCTTCATAAAACTAATCTACTTTCACATAGGCACTGTTGTAGCATTTAAATATAGATATTACTATTTTCTCTCTCTCCCTCCTTCTCGCCCCTTCTCTGTTTCCTTAACAGTTAGCAAGACTGTGAAAGTTTTCCTTTAAAAAATATTTATTCTCTATCAATATATGTGTGAGCATGCATGTACAAAAATCTTTTCTCTGTGCTAATCATTCTGTGTGCTAAATTGTTTACATCCATTATCTCACCTAATGTTCCCAACAAATGTATACTATAACAGTTTTGATTTTCAGATGAGAAAATGGGGCTTGAGATTAAGTATGCAGAAGTAAGTGACAAATTCCAACTTTGATCCAAGTTTGTTTTACACAAATGCATATACATTACCACTATTTAATATCGACACAGTTATCTAATAACACTTACCAAATGTCAGTGTTTTAACTTACATAGGAAGTTCCACTCTCATCTGTCTTCGCTTTTTGTCCTACTCTTTTAGCATATGTAATTACTCTGTTTATAAATACAATGTTTTAAACTGTCCTCTAATCATTTCATATTTGTAATTCCTGTTTTCTATAACAGACTATATTCTTTTCAAAAATAGAAGTCATGCTGAATACTTAGTTTACATCATTTCACATTTCTTTAAATACACATAAAATTTGTTTAAAAGGAAGATGTGTTAATTGAATTTTAAATTTTGTTTTAAAGGATTGTTTCATTTTACAAGGTAATTTACTAAATTCCTATTTTCAAGAATTATACAGAATAATAGAAGAGTCAAAAACTAACAAAGCTATATATAATTACATGAAGATCAAATTTATTTTTTTATAATTTCACAATTTTACCATTTATCAACAAAATATTGCCAGACCTGATGGAAACATGTACTGCAACATTACTTTCTCTTTTTGATTTTTCAATCAAAAAAGGGAATTTTTCACTCCCTCTCTGGAGGTTCAAGTGTCCTGAAATAAACTGGCAACAAATTACGAGAAGAAAAGGCATACAGGATTATTAATGTGCAAGTGTACATGGGAGCCATACAAAATAAAGAATCAGAAGGCCAGATGGTTGAGGCTTATATGACCTCTTCATACAGGAGAGGGAAATGGGAAATGTAAGGTATTTTGAGGAGTGCTAAATAATTTTCAGGGGAATTGAATGAGCTCAAGTAATAGACAATGTCCTGGGCCAACGTTCCGCTGACCTCTGGGGTGAGTGGCTATAATTTCCAGAAAGGTGAAGGACAGAACCTCACAGTGAACAAACATTGTCTTAGCATACAAATAAAGCCTCGGAAAATCAGAGCTTCCTTCAGAATAGATGAAAAGTCTGTCTGGGTGTGGTGATGAGTCTTTTTTCATCTTTGTTGTTTAATCATTCCTGGTTATTTAATGAGATTCCAAGGGAGTGGTTTTCAGACAATTGCATTTCTTTTGAAAGAAGTTTTCTTCAGTCAAATAAGAGTACTTCCAGAGAGCCCCTCCCTTGTGTCTGGGGCAAGGAAGAGAGCAAGAAGAGAAGGTTAGAACATTCTTGAAAGGCAGCTTCCATGAACTTTAAATTTCCTTTAATTCAAAAAAGTGCTCAGCATGCCAAAGCACCATACTTTGGCATATTATTCTCTGAGCCCCAACACTGTCTACACCTATCAACACTCAATTCTAAGCTCTTGAAATTTATTCCTCTTCCATTTTTCCCTTTCACTTAATGGAATCCCTGTACACCGTATCCTTCCCTCAATCTGAGATTACTGAAACAAGAAACGGACAGTGTCCTGAGATTCTGTTCCTTACCTCATTTCTTACACCCAGTCTATCAGCTAGTCCTGACAATTCTACCTTCAAATTATATCTTGAATCAACTCACTTCTCTCCTTTATTGCCACCACCATATTCTAGACCACTATCATCTTTTCTGGTCTTTTATATAACCACTTAACATGCTCATACTCTTGCCTCACTACTATTCTCTGTATAATAGCCACATTGATTAGACAGTGTATCTGTGTTTGGTACAGTATATCCTGTGTACATACTGATTAGACAGATATACTGTCTCATCACTATTGTTGTGGGTTTTTTATTCCCCTAATTCAGCAGGCAGGAGTGTTACAGCTCTTTTCCTCCTGCCACATGTAACTTGGCAAGCAGGAGCATTATAGCTCTTTCACTCCTGCAGTTCAGTGACTCCTGGTTCTTGTCCCATGGCCAAAAGGAATAAGGTACATGGATACTGGAGAGGGAGTAAGGCAGAATAAAATTTATTGAGTGAAAGAAAAGCTCTCAACAGCGAGAGGGGACTTGAAAGTGGGTAGCCTTCTCTGAGGCTGAGCTGGGGGTTTTTATGGGCTTCAAATGGGGCAATGCTTGCTAATTGGTTTATGAGTGGGCTTGGAAAAGGAATCATTCAATAGGCTAAAGGCATCATTCAGAAAGAACCAATTAAGAGAGAGTGGATAAGATATGGATGGAAGTTCTCACTCTGGTTCATGGATTCGATCCAGAACTGGTAGCCCAGTTTTCAGGCTTTAGACTGCCCTGGCTTGAAGGTTGAGTTTCACAGGGGACCCATTTGTGGCTGCCTGGGAATTTGTCTGTCTCCTGTCACTGTCACTATGGCTGCATATATTTACTAAATATACAGAATAACATTTCTCCTCTGCTTAAAAGCCACCAAAGGTCCATGCACTTCTTATTCCCTTAATATAAAATCCAAAATAATTATCTTACCCTACAAGACCCATAATATCACCTTTTTGACTTCCTATTCCTCCCCTCTCCTCCTCACTCACTATACTTCCAATGCATTGACCTTATTTCTGTTCCTCAAGTAGCCCACATTCTTTTCCCTGTTAGGGCCTTAGCATATGTTGTTTATTCTACTTACCATGCTCTTTATACTGCCCATCTCGTTCTTCAGTTTCAGTATAAATGTCACTCTTCAAAGTGCTTTTCTTCTGATCACCTTCTCTAAGTAGGTCAGTCACCTGCTATTCTCTCTCATAGTAATTTTTTTTTTCAAAATATTTCATGAGTCATCATTATATATTTATGCACTTATTTAGTCTGACTCCTCCACTGGACCATAAGCTCCATAAGGGTATATAATACATCTGTTTCTGTTGTGACTGAACACCTATGCAGTGCCTAGCACATAGTAGACACTCAATAAATATCTGTGAAATGAATGACTGAAACAATAGCATTATTTCTTTTTTTTTAAGAATTCTTTTCTGGACAGACTGGGATGCAAATTTTCCTCGCATTGAATCTGCCTCTATGAGTGGTGCTGCAAGAAAAACCATCTACAAAGACATGAAAACTGGGGCTTGGCCTAATGGACTAACTGTGGACCACTTTGAGAAAAGGATAGTGTGGACAGATGCCAGGTTTAAAAAATTATCTCTTTTCTGGATTTTGTTTTTTATTTCCTCAGATAATATTTACAACACTGGAAAATTTCCTAACATGTCAGTATCATGTATACATATATTAAAATTGGAGGTGGGTTTTTTTTTTTTTTTTTTTTTTTGCTTTTCCCAAATCAGATACAGACCCATAAAAATATTAATAAAATACCTTTTGTTTTTTGTCATTTAGCTGAGTTATATGATTATGTCTCTGGACTAGTTGAATGAGTTTTGACAAACTACCCATGTATTTATCTTCCTGCAGGTCAGATGCTATTTATTCAGCCCTCTATGATGGAACAAACATGATAGAAATCATCCGAGGTCATGAATACCTTTCTCATCCCTTTGCTGTGTCTCTATATGGGAGTGAAGTCTACTGGACAGACTGGAGGACCAACACATTGTCCAAAGCCAATAAGTGGACAGGGCAGAATGTCAGTGTGATTCAGAAAACAAGTGCACAGCCGTTTGACCTTCAGATATACCATCCCAGTCGCCAGCCACAGGGTAAGTGCTTGTTCATTTATGGATTAACCACCCAGAAAGTATTATCATCTTGATAATGTAATATTTGAACTATAAAATAATCTTCTGTAAGTTAAAAGTTATTGACATTTTATGCATACTGTATGAGGGAAGTGGTTTTAACCTTTATTTTAACTAGTTTAGAATTTTTTTATTTTGCTTTTTATTTTCTTTACATATAAATATTTAGGGGCATATTAATTAGTAAGATGCCCCTATATGTTTATTTTAAACTAAGTCGCCTAATTTTTAGATTATTGCCATGTAGCATATTGGGAGGAGACGGGGTGGTACATGAGAAAAGGTGAACCATTTGCTTGAGTTCCTCTATTTTAAGAGAAGTGAGTTCACAGGCACATATGTGTTACCTCTCCCCATGTTTTTCAGCTTTTGGTTCAACAGTGAACGCCATCTTGGTTTCATGATTCTGTTTCCTCCACTCAATCTTTGCCAAATGTTACTATCCTAATTCTTACTTTTTCCCCTACTGTGATACCATGACCATTTGGTGTAACATCAGCTCATCCTTTTATACTTTTTCCCCATTATATGTGACATAACTGGTGGAAATCTCACTTGAATGCAAACAATGTCCCCTTCATTAGCATATCTTCATTTTAGGTTCACGATTCTTAGATGACAAACTCTCTCTTGCATTTTCTCCTTCTCTTTCTTTTTCAGTGTGGAATAAGATCTTCTAACTCATTGGCATGTAGGGCATTTGTTCCACACACTGAGCCTTATATTTTAAATTTGTATTATAGTATCGTTTAAACTTGACTAAAACCAGTTACCTCTCTGGTTGACAATATCACATGGCTATTCTTTGTCTTTCTTCAGTATGTGACCTTTATCCTCCCTTGATGCTATTTCTTCTACCAAAGTCTCATCTGCAAAATTTTCAGTGTCCTTTCTCTGGCAATCTGATTGAATCTAGTTATTTTCCCAGATACTCTCAATTTCTCAGTTTCTATTTTCTTATGTAATTGATCTTTCTTTGCTATACATACTGGTTTCTATACATACTGCTTGCATAGGTGAGCAATAACTTTAATTTTTTTCTTCTACTCTTGATTTCTTTCACCTTATAAGCTAAAAAGCATGAGGACAATACAGAAAAAAAGTATATAGATTAGTCATTGTTGCATTTAATAAGGATTTAATAGATATATTGAATTTAACTAAATTTAAATAAGGCAAGAAGTTATTATTCTGACCAGCAATGTGCCACTAGTATAAGGAAAAACATACTCTTCTCTAGAAGCTTCCTCTTCAACAGAGGAATGCCTAGCTGTAAGCAAACACTGTAGATGGCAATCACTTATAAGATATGAATGGTTTTGATTATTTCAAGTGTAAAATTATTTACACAACTGTATTTTTGTCCCTCAGATTGTTTGGCATTTTGTAGTAATTATAAATTGTATGTTCGGCACAATCTAAATGGACTGGACCATGAAAAATGGCCTTCATCTATGTATTGCATCATTCCTTCTCACCCAAAATAGGATCAATGTCTTTCATTTACTAACTGCACTGTCTAAATTGCCTACATTGGCATGACCCTTAGTAAATTCATAGAACAGGAAGAACCGTGATACTCTCAAACTTTCCTGACATTTGTGCATATATAGAAAATAAATGAGACATTCATTGTCATTTTTTGGTGGGGGGAGGCATCCTTGACTTTTTTACTTAACTCAAAATATGATTGATATATGATTTTTCCTCTTTACTTAAGATAAGCAAGATTTTACTATGTAGATCTAATTTAACATATTTTCCCAGGATTCAGGGCAAGTATTCTAGTCTTTAAATACATTTAGAGAATATCACCTACGAAAAGAACTTGCTGTTTCCTAAATGAAATTCAGTCAGTTTCCAATTTTGAGAGTGATCGGAGAACATTCTACTTTTCCCCATTATAAGGATCACTGAGCTTATAATAATCATTATCTGTCCTATTTATCTGCTTCAGTGAAGTAACACTTCCACTGCTAGGGAAAAAAGATGCAGGAACATATCGACTATTTTATTACCAAGGATAGAATTAAAATGAAAATGGTGACAAAGGCTCAGCATTAACACAAATACAATAATAATAGCCCATTTTCTGGTGAATAATAACATGATGTTCATGAAAAAAATAATACATTTTAAAAATACATGACATTCAGTACTATAAAATTGAAATATATCTTTCACAAATTAAAGAAACAAAGGTTACAAATACTATTTGACGTTATCTAATCCTCCAAGTAGGAAATTAATAAAAGTTTTAGCACCAGTTTTCTTACGAGTAAGCATTCATTATGCACACAAAATTCCAAATTGGTTATTGGATATTTAAGCAGAATATTTTAGAAATACATTTTAGATTGCTTTGGTTTTTAATGTTGTTGTTATATGGGATTAGGAAGAAACAAACCAAAGCTGAAACGTATGCAATATGAAGGAGCAATAGTGAATATTTTAAAAATTAATTTAAAAAATTACAGCATGAGGGAGCCAAGCTTAGAGTTAATGGCAAGGCCTGGGTTCAAATCCTAAACATATGATTTATTAATTGCATGATGTACCCTTCATCATTGGCATAGTTTTATTTCAGATTCATAAGTCTTAGCTATTAATGTGTTATTGGACATTATTGGCAAGTTATTTAACCTCTCTGTACTTGCTTTTTCAAACTGGAGATCATGTGTCTAAATCATAGGATCTCGCAAATGTTGAGTTTAATCACCATTTAACACAATGTAGGTTTTTCTTTAAGCTGAAAATATATAATTCACATTTATGAAGTAATCTAATCTATATTTTATCAGTAAATACAAATATTAATTTTTAGGTATATTAAAAAACAATGACAACAAAACTCATTTACAATAAACACTTTTTGGGTCATGTGTTAGGTTTTGTTTGGATAATGAGATCTGAGATTATATAATGAAGCATTATATAAAAATGGTTTTGTGATTATGACTTTGTAATATAAGTGTGCAGTTATATCTTTTTTTTTTTTTTTGAGCAGCAGCAAAATTTATTGCAAAGAGCAAAGGAACAAAGCTTCCCCAGCATGGAAGGGGACCTGAGCGGGTTACCCAAGTATATCATTTTTATTAGTACTTTACAGGTGTTAGTCTCAATGTGTGCAAAGACTTGCAGGAACTGTTCTCCATCTGAGACTTCTTCTCACACATACCAATTATAAATTCTTATACTAGCTCAAATTTTACGTTCTCTACATTAATAGTTAACACCATAAGGATTCAGCATTTAAAGCTTTTATGGTTATTTATTTATTTATTCATTAATTGTTTCCTAACCCTGTCTTACCTACTCACCTAGATTATAAAATACTTAAGGAACAGTGTTTCATTTATTTCTTTGTGCCAACTATACAGTCTAGCTAAGTCCTTTATAACAATATTGATAATTATAATAATAATAGCTAACTTGATTATCATTGTATTTCATGAGATATCAATTTTTCATATCAATGAGAAATATTGTTAGCAGCCCAGTTTTACAGATGAGGAACCTAAGATAGAGAAATACTAAGTAAATTACTCAAGATCTAACAGCCAGGGGATAATCATTCTGTTATCTGAATGGAAGTCTGAAGCCAAAGCTTTTGTCTTAATCACTACACTCTACAGGCAGAAGACATTCAATGCACATATATTCCTCTTGGAATTGTTGCATCTTATCACCAGATGGCAGTAGAGAGTCATGTTTTATTGACATTCTCCTTGGACAAACTTCCTTACCTTCCTGGAGTTTATAGTCTAAGAGGAGGAACAAACTAAATTAACAATTAGGATAAATACAAACATTGTTATGATAGATGGATTTTGAATGTAAGAGTATAGTGAATGTATTTTAAAAAGTAGCAGGGTGTGGTACTAAAAACAAAACAAAACAAACCTTGGAATTAGCTAAGTTTAATTCTTCCCTCATGTCACTCACTAGCCATGTTACCTGAGGCAAATTACTAACTTGGAGGGGTTTTATTTCCACATTTGCAGATCGAAACAGCTACAAGTAAGGAAAGAGTAAATCAGAGACAAGATTGGGCAGGGGTCAGATCATGCTCACACTCAAATAATATCCCTACAAAGAAATACACAGTTTTTTCCTCCGGGATAAATGGTTCCAATGATGTTAAACATAAGTGTGCATTAAAATTAATGGAGGGCTTATTAAAACACATATTGGTGGGTGTTACCCAGAGATTCTGATTCGGTAGGTCTTGGGTGGGGTTTGACATTTTGCATCTTTAACAAATTCCCAGGGGACATGATGCTGACTTAAGAACCATTCCTCTAAGAAAAGGAAAAAAAAATTTAAAAGAATATGGTCAAAGGAGTAAAAAGAATAGATTTGCATGATAGAAATTTGTAAAGGATTGATTGGAGAGACAGGATTGAAGTGTATATGTGTGTGTATGTATATGTATGTATAGAATATATATGTATGTGTGTATATATATGTTACACACACACCCCCACAGAGAGATAGAGAGAGAGATTATAGAAGTTAACTCATATGCTTATGGAGGACAAGAAGTTCCACAATCTACTGTAGGTGAACAGGAGAACCAGGAAAACCAATGGTGTAACTCAATCCAAATCTTAAAGCCTAAAAACCAGGAAGGGTAGGTGGGTAATGGTATAAGTCCAGTTCCAGGAGTTCACAGGTCCGGGAACCAGAAGTGCCAATGATGGAGTGTGGGATAAGATATATATCCCAGCTCAAACAGGAAACAAACTTGCCTTTCCTCTACCTTTTTATTCTATTTAGGCCTTCGACAGATTGGATGATGCTTCCCTGTACTGGCAAGGGCAGGAACTTTTTAACCCAGTATACTAATGCAAATACTCATCTCTTCCAGAAATACACCCAGAAATAATTATTTGCCAGCTATCTAGACATTCTCTAGACTAGTCAAGTTTACATATAAAGATAACCATCACAGGAAGTTA